GCCGGCCGGAGACGGAGCGAGCAGAGCGGGAGCCAGGATGAAGGCGGCAGAGCCCTTGCAGGTGAAGTTTGGTGAGATGCGAGGATGTAGCAGCTGTTGGATTTATCCTCCCTGCCAACGCTGACATGCGGGGCTGTGTTGTATTTGCCAAGAAGTGCTTCTGCGGATTGGAAAAGTAGGGGGAGAATCAGGAATCGATGCAGAGAAACAGTAGGAAAAAATCAGGATAAGTGGTAAGATGGGGGCATTTTTGGTTAAGAATGGGGGGAAACTCTGGCATTCTTGCTGTCTGTATTTTTGATGTGGACAAATTACATGATCAGAACTCTTTTAAGTGAGTAAATTTACTTGCAACAGTGCTGTAGCTTCCTACCCTTTCTCAAAGCAAAATATGTCCCTATATGTAGGATGCAGGCTTTTCTTCTCTTTTTTTTAAATAGCAGATTTATTTAACAGGGTGGATATTAGTTATATAAGAGTATAAGAGAAATCCCCCTCAAGTGTGCTTAATGGAGCTGGCAAGCTGCCAAACTATGTTTAACTTTCAGATCAGATGGTCTGAATCTCCAAGATTTTCTCCTAAACGTCTGCATGCAATTTGAAGGATGACATTTTTCAGCCGCTCTTGTTTTACGTTGTTTCAGTTTCAAAATATCTTGCAGCCTTTAACTTTAGTGTTGCAGAAATGAGTCTCACGATGAGATACGAGTGTAGAGATTATGCCTGTTTGTAAGAGGGTGTGTTAGACAGTGCGTCTGTCTCGAATGCCACTTCGTGCAGTTATTCTGCCTCCTTAGGATTTAGCTGGAAGAGTGCTTTCCAGATACTGATCTGAGATTGCATTTAAATATTGACAAGTGTATTTGAGCCCAGGACAAAGGGGATAGTTGTCAGCAAAAGCTGCAAACAGGCAGCTCGGCAGCGTCTGCGAGGAGCGCGGTGCTGTGCAGGAACGCGCCAAAGTGCCGTCGCTGCATCCCCTGCGGGCTGGAGGCGGTCGGGTAGACACAGTGCTCGCTCCTTCTCCAGGGTCAGGAATCTCCTCCAGGGAAGTTCAGACTCACTCTGCCTGCAGGGATAGAGAAGGTCTGGAGGGGTAGAGAAGCTTTAAAATTAGTTGAGCACTGCATGAAAGTTCAGACATCTCTTATTCTTCCATTCTTAGGAAAAGGGCAGTAGTCTTTCAAAAAAGGAGCAAATGTAGTTTCAGATGTGGTTGATAACATCCATTGGTGTGATTTATAAACTCTCTTCCCTCTCTGTTCCTGCAAAGAATCTCTGTGCAAAGCTGCTGAGAGGGGAAGGCTTCCTGTAAAGCTCTTCCTTCTCTCAGAGCTTATGTACCATGTTAGCATGTTAGCCCCGTAGCATTTGAGCTCCTTCCAGCTCAGGGAGGTGCAAGTCTGAAGCCCAGAAGTTCAGATCCTTGTTAAGTGTTGCTGTTGTGCCAAGCCCTGCCTCAAAGGTGGTGAAACTCCAGAGCATTAAGATAAGGTCTTTGCAAAGGAGTGACTAAAATGTTCTCTCATTAAAGCTTTCAGTCAAATGGCTCAGCCAAACTTTACCATTGCCAGCATCCTAGGAAAAGAAAAAAAGATTCGTGGAAAGCAGTAGGACTGCAGCATTCTAGCTATATTAAAAATGATTGCTTAAATGATGAATTTGCAGATAACTATCAAAATCAGCATGTGGAAAAACCCTTTATTTTGTCAGAAGGAAGAACTTCTGTTCCATAGCCGGTCATGTAACATTTTAGTGAGGAAAGAAAAAAAATCAGAATGTCCACTGAAAGCCCTAAAGGAGTCCTTTAACTGTGTGGTCTGGTGGGCTGTTAGCATACCGCAGTGCTGAGGCACCTCTGAATCCAGACTGCAGATACTTCTTCTGCCTTCCTAGTGCTGTTTGGCCGCTTGCGATGCACGGCTGTGGTGCATGTGATCGTGATACACGCGTACGTCCCACCATTTAATTGCAGTGACATATGCAAAGCAGTATGGCATCTGCAATGACTTGATGCCTTGGCAAATACTCCTGATTTCTCAAACAGATTTTGGCTTTTGGTGTTAGTGAATATAAATTCAGAGAGTATACTCTGAAATTGTTTTTTTAAATTAAGACACAGCTTGTCTGGCTTATAATGTAATGCAAGTTATTGACAGAGGCTTTGATTGCGGGGAGTGGGGAAGGACGGACAGGGAAAAAGTGTTGGGAGAGAAGATAATGCAACCTTCCTCTCTGGGCACGTGGAAGCCTCTCCAAACCTGCCCTGTATGTGGTGAGAGTTGTCGATTTTTGGAGGACCTGACTGTTTAGGAAGCTTTGTCACTGGGCAAGCAGCAGGGTCCTCACAGTAATATGTTTGCATTATTTCCTATATCTTCACTTAATTAACACTGATTGAAGCTCAGCTGGAAGACTCCTTCAGTCAAGGAGGCAGTATGGTGCCATGGCACCAGCACTGGTTCCTGCTCCTGCAGGACGTGAGGGATTTCACAGAGGGAAGGGCCACGTCCCTGGTGCCTTCAGAGCTGCTTGGCTTCCCTCGAGCTTCAGAGCTGTCAGAGCCACGAGCGCCAAACAAGCTCCCTGCTTGCAGCCCTGCTGAGTCACTTTTACCTGATTTCTGCTGGGATAGATGTTTAATATCTTTGGGGATATAAAATGGCCCAGATTTACTTCTGCAAGTCACCTCTTGGGCAGAAACCAAAACGGGGGCGGGTGGGGAAGGGGCCTGGTCTTGACACAAAGCTCTGTCCCCCCTTTCCTGCAGGCGAGTGTCGTGGGAAGCATCGCCTGCCACCTGAACTCCTGTCCTCCTCAGCAGATCTCTGAGTTTTTCAGTTGGCTCTCAGCTCTGCCTTTAAACAAACCCCAAAAGCCATTTATTTGCAATTTAATGAGAACTCTCATTCACTCCTCAGAATATGGAAGCCTCTTCTGCCTAGTTCCTTGCAGTAAAAGCTCACCAAGATTAACAGAGTATAAGTATAGCAGCTTTAACAAGATTTAGGGCAAAAGTGTGATTCGTTAAAAATGACATGAAACCATATACTAAGATCTTCAGAATATCTTTGGTTGTAAGATAATTTTGTTCATCTCAAATATTTTACTAGTCAGAAAAACTATTTAAATTTTAGGACCTAGGAAGAAGTAGGGAATCCTGAAAGCATGTTTGCCTTAGTGCAATCACTATTGCTTATTTTTCTGAAATACTGCCATCCAAAGAAAGATGCCCCAAAAAGAGAAAAGGTAAAGGGCGAGAGAAAAATAAAATTAAAAACATGAACAAATGTTAATATGAGGAGCGCTTGGGCACTTTGGGACTGCTTAGTTTTTAAAAGGAAAGATAAAAAATTAATAAGTGATATTAATAGATAAGTCATGTTTACCTACTTACCTCTTTGCAAAATAGAAGAATAAGAGAAAACTAAGTTTCCTGGAAGGGCAAACTTAATACTGATAAGGTAAATACCGTTGGCATACAAACCAAAGCTTAACTCCTAAATGTAGAATTGTCTTAACTCTTTTTCTTGGTAATATTCCCAAGTATGTCTGCATTAACATTTTGAAGATAATTTAAGTCAGAAATTGGCAGGTGTTAAAAAGAAGCTCTTTCTACAGCCTTGTAATAGCTGAAACTCTGAATGGTCATGTGTGGAGTCACTGTCAGATATAGGGCACTAAGAAGATAAACTCTTTTCTAGCACCAATTCCTGTCTTCCTAAGCATTGCAATTCTTCATGATCAGAGTCCAAAACTGCATCAGTGTTGAATTCCTTCCAGAATTTGTTGCAGAGATTTCTAGATGAAAAACTGGAATACACCCTTTGAAATAAAAGGTATAAAAATTGTAATATGGAGTAGGGGGACAAAACATGATGGGCCTTAACTCTGTATCCAAAATATCATTAAAGGTTTGATCAAATCTGTCCACACAGATAATTTTATTTCTTTGTTAATTGTTGAAAACTGTATTTTATTTAGACAGTTGACAGGCCGAAGGATTGGTACAAGACAATGTTCAAGCAAATCCATATGGTTCATAAGCCTGGTGAGTATGTGTTTGTCTTGGCTGTGTATTTCTCGATATTTAGAAATTCACTTTTCTGCCTTTTGATTGGCTGCCCTGTAAAAATCCAAATGTTCACTGAGTATGGGATAGCGAATCAAGTCCAAGGGTTAAATTGGATCACAGATTTTATTTCTGAGAGGAATGGATTTATTACTAAACATAAGTAAAAACTGCCATGATGAAGCGAGTGACGTGTCACCCCGGCCGTGAGAGGCTGCTCTGAGGATGTGCTTTCTGTTCAAATTGTGTTTTTTCCATCTCATGTCATATCACCTTTTATTGAAATGGGGGCTTGATGACATTACTGGTCTTCAAGTTACCTTCCCTTGTCACGGTTGACATCCAAGGCTGTTAAGAAGCTTCTTGAACGGCATTTTGCCCATCGCACCTCTGTGGAAGGAGGGCTTCATTGCACTGAGGTGCAGTTTGCCTTCAGTGTGGTGGCACCAGGGAATCAAAACTGTAAACAGAAAAATTACTGCTTCCCAGGCCTGTTCTGAGCACTAGTCACATGGATAGACATTTGAGGTTGTTTTTCATGGTAGGAACAACAACTAAGTAAGTAGTTTCTAATAAAACTGACAACAGGCAGAAGTGGGGAAGGGAGAAGGGCAAACAAACAGGTACATTTTGCAATTTGGGCTTAACCTGTGACTATGCAGTGTGGGTGTCATGGCAAGGCAATGCCATTTTTACCATAGCAAGATGGTAAAAACGGCCTGTGGTGAGTATAACGGGGAGAAAACATGCAGAAAACACGTGCCTGAGATGAGGCGAAGTGCGGGGCTTGACTGCCTGCCCCTCCTCTGCGTTTGCGAGAGCAGCGCTGCGTGGCTGGGTGGGCGGCCGGGGTTGCACTGCGTAACATGTGTATTTCTTTTTGTAGATGACGACACAGACATGTATAACACTGCCTATGCATACAGTGCTGGTAGGAATCGTTCCCTCCCTCCCTTCACAGCGACGCTTTGTTAATGTCAACAAGTAATAGGGATAGTCAGCCAGTCAGGCTTGCTTGTGTGATATTTATGTAAACACAGCTTTTAATCATTTTGTTTGATCTCAGTTGGTGTTTTTTCATGTCGTTTTTCCCAAATCAAGTTTAATTTTGGTTTCATCCTTGCTACAGAAATGTATTGCAGCTGTGGGTCTCTTTCTGCAGATGGAATACATTGTAATACTGTAGTTTCTGACTGCACTGCATTTATTTTCACTAATGGTTGTGACTAACTCGGCCTTTTCATGTCAAAATGAAAAGGGAACTATGGTGTGAATGTACAAATGCTAATTACATATGTGGGAAGACAAATATATTTGAGGGGGTTGTCCTTAGAGCACCTTTTTAAAATATACAGATATACAGAAAATATACAGAAACAGATGTTTCTGTTCTGTGCTCTTGTTCGTTTGTGCTATAGACACCTAGATTTATATCATTTAGCTGCAGGAATGACATATTTGTCAAAAGCTTACGTAATGGATGCATCTTTCAGAGGTGGCAGAAATATTTACTAGAACCAAAATTAAAAGTGTGATTACACTATATGCATAGAAAAAAAACATAGTGCCTTATGCAGAAATCCCATTTGAAATTCTTCCATTTCAGTATTTGTGTTGTGTCAGTGACAGCATTTGTGTGTGCCAGTTGTTCAAGATCTTATTTGAGGTGTCTGGCTTCCGAATTGTCCCAAGCTGAAAGGTGCTATTAAAAAGCAATAAAGGCCGAGCTGGCTCCTGCCCTTCTCTCCTCCTGAACCTAAGAACAACCGAGAGGCAGGACGAGCCCTAGGTGTGACAGGCTGCCATTAACAGCTCTGATGGACACATACGGCCATTAACCCTCCACCCTGTTAGTTGTGACCTGTACTGTACCTACCTGCGGGCCTGTAGAGGTGTATGCAAATACCCAGGCATTATAAGGATGTATTATGTAACAATGTGCTTTTCATAAAGCATCTATACCTTTTTATAATATCACAGCTTTATTAACTGTGAGGTCTCGCAGTCTTGCATGTCTCGTTTATTGAAACGCCCTCTCACACTGTGACTGTTTCTGTTTGTCACTGTTATTAGGTAGCTACAGTCCATCCTTCTCTGCTCAGGCGCACCCAGCTGCGAAGACACAGACGTACAGACCACTATCTAAAAGTGCTTCTGACAGCAGCTCCGATGCCTTTAAGGTTTCATCCCCTCTGCCACCTCCTCATGTGCCGCCTCCGGTTCCACCCCATCGTCTGCGGGAAAGGTCTGCGTCAGAAAAGTACGTTAATGTGTTGTCACTGTTGTTGGCACGTGCAGCAATCCAAGTACAGGATGTCGTGAAGGATAAAACAGCAGCTATACAAGTGATGGGACTGCCTTTGCTCAGGGACAGTGATGTCATTGGGGATGTCTTCACTGGTATTTTAGGCGCCTGTGTGGCACAATTGTCCTAAAGGGGCACTCTGAGCAGGAAGGGCTCTTCGTGGTATCCACTAGGAAAAGGACAGGACCTAAATGATTCAGTAAATAGAAATTCAAGGAAAGGAAAGCTGTAAGGGTCTAACAGTCATCCCTCATTTCCCCAGAGCTGTGAAGAATTTCGTATTCCCCATTTTTTAAATCTCCATCTGTGTTTTTGATAGATCACATTGAAAGGACATTTCAGATTTCTTATCACTTCTCACTTGCTGCATGAAAACAGATAAATCAAGTCTGGTAGCAGTTAATTCCTGTTAGCTCAGGAAATAACTGCTTATCCCTCTGGTAAAAACATGAAAAATGCTCTGTGTGCAAAACCTAGAATCCTCCTCATAGCTGTTGACACTACGTCAGGAATACAGGTTTTTCTTTAGTGTTTGCATTTATGTATACTTTGTGTTAATATACATTATTATACATTTTTATGTGCCCCTGCATGTGCATGTTTTAATTCTAAAAGCATTTGTTCTTGTGCCATTTGTGGGTGCAAGGCAACTGTCTTGAACAGCCTCAAGCAACAAATTCTGGCCATTTTTCAGTTTTGACACTAAACATTTTTGCATGTAGAAGTTAAATGAATATTAAATTGTTTCAAATAAAAAATCATCAATTTGAACAAATAATACAAGAAATGAGCACCTGAAGTGTTAAAAAAAATCAGTTTATGATTTTGGAGTTTTGAAAATTTTTAATATAATGGCTAAAACATCAATCAGCAGATGTACCATGCATCAGAGGAGGAAGAAATAGGATCTCGTACGATCTGCAGTAGCAGACACTTGGCTCAGCGGCTGGCTGCAGAGTTTGGCTGCTGCTGTAGCTGAGGGCAGCGTTGCAGTCGGGCTGCCTCCCAGAGGCCACGACGTTTGGATTTCCTTAGCCAGCCCCATGGAAGTGGTTTCGGTGCCCCGCTAACACAGAAAGGGAGACCCTCAGAGCTCCCTTCGTGGAGCTTGATGATAAGCCCTGCAGCAGCCAGGCAGGGTGCTCTGCCCCTCCTGTCTCACCTCCTGCGCGCTAAGACGCGCGGTGCCAGTCCCGGCCTCAGGGATGCCCAGCTCCTCAGCTACACTGTGCTGCTGCTGAGAGCTACTGCCAGCCGCTCCTTTCCTGTCACTGCAGTGTTCTCCTTTAATAATAATAAATCTGAGATTCGAGGAGGTATGTCACGGTATTGTGAGTGGATATGTCAGAAAAAAAAATTAAACTGATCCTCTAGGAAGAGTATGAGGGATCACACAGGCTGGGGATTTCCATAATTTTCCAACTCTACTGCATTTATCTGCAGTAAGTGGGTTAAGGTGATACAGTGGTTAAAATGATGGGCTGCTGGGCCAGACATTTCACAGTGAAGTCCATAATGAGAAGGGTTGCGGAAATTAATGTGTGTGGCCGGTGCTAGGTCCGTGCATCTCTTGCGTGCAGCTGTACAGCAGGTGGGGAAGCCAGTCCAACTGAACTGCTCCTGTTTGTTATTTAGAAATGCCTGGGACCCACCTGACAGAAAGGTAGATACTCGCAAATTCCGCTCTGAACCAAGAAGTATTTTCGAATATGAGCCAGGAAAGTCATCGATCCTTGAACATGAAAGACCGGTAAGAGACATGAGTGAAATGGTGACGTGCAGGAAGAGGTGTGGTGAGAGACCTTTTATTTATTTGCTATTGATTATAACTACTTTGATTATTTAAGGTGTTTTGTCAAATGTGATTTCACAGGAATTTTTAGCTTCTCTTTCCTGCTGTTTGTGTTGAAAATGTGGGTTTGGTGTATTTCATTCTTCCAGCATTATCAAGAAATTGAAGATCACTGCGCAGACGTTACAGATGATGAATAGTGATGAACAGAATTATAAATTAATGGAAGTTGTTTGTTCTAGTTGGCGTGCATCTCCAGCACTCCTTTTTATTTATCACATTTTCAGTCGTATTAACAGCACATATGGCACCTGATTAATTAATGCATAAAAATAAACTATTCATGCTTTCAGGGCAAGTCCAATCATATCCTTAAGCAGATTTTGATGAAATATTGGAACAGGTTGTCCGGAGAGGCTGTGGAATCTCCACCATTTCAGGTGTTCAAAGCTTAACTGGATAGAGCCCTGAGCAGCCTGCTCTGATCCGACCTGCTTTGAGCAGGGAGCTGGGCTCAGTAAGCTCGGGGGGTCCCTCTGTGATTGTGTTAACATGGAATGAAGCAAAAAATAGCCACTAACATAAGTTTTCGTTTATTGAAAAACACATTCAGCCAAGTGCTCTAATTTTTCTTTATGCTATCTCAATTCCTTACTACTTTAGTAAAATCGGTTTGTATCAGTGACAATATTTTCTTTTCTTGGGATTTTTCTTGAGGTGCAATGGTTGATGGAGTCCAGTTTGAGAGAAACAGTTTATGTAACTGATACTCAATTATTATTTGCTTATCTATTACTGCATTACACATGTGTTCATAGAATTTATGAGTTTAGAGTAAATTAACCAAGTGGTTGAATTTTAGAACATACAGGAGGTCAGTAGTATGTGACACAGCTGTACTAGGGGCCTTTCCATTAGACCTTTGCTGTCTTTGCAGGAATGTAACTTTGTTTAGCTAGAAAATAAGCGTGTGGTTGTGAAATAAGGTTCTTGCAAAACTGATGCTGTTTTTTCAAGAAGGAGGTTAGCATTTCTGCATGGACTACTAATTAATCAATCTAATAAGTTAGCAGGTTCTCCCAAGTTCATGTGAATTACTATTAACTGTCAAGCTGAACTCAACTTACTATATGCAAAAAGTGATGACGTTTGTTTGGAGCATTTTGTTTGCTTGCTCCGTACGTTCAGGTTAGCCTTTCCAATCCCACAAGTTAAAATTACAAAAACCACAGTGTATTTCAAGAATGCCCTTGCCTTTCTAACTACTTTTTTCATGTTATGCTAGTAAAAAATGAATAATTCATACCGGAACTGCATTGCTGCTGAATGGGAACATGGATACAAGTTTGCAATTTTAGTGAGCGTATTAAATGAGGAAAAAGTGAATTTTGGAGATTATTCTTGCAGTTTCTTTTTTCCTTTTTTGTTCTTTATTTTTTCCCAAATTGCTTATTCATTTTATTTTTGATGCTCTGATTTGGGAGGATAGATACGAGCCCTGCTGGGTCCGTGAATATCTGTGTGCGGAAGAGCCTTAGTCGCTGCACGTAAGGAGCTGCTTTAGCCAAGGGCAATGTCAGACTTGCATTGTCCAAAGCTGAGCCTAGGAGCTCGTGTGAATAGGAGCAAATGCCTGTGCGGAGAACAGGCCTCCGCAGCCGAGGAAATAATGTTTATGGGTGGAATGGAGAGGGGCTTTTGGCCTATAGTTCACTTTTCTAAAAGATTTGAAAAAAAAAGAATTAGTATAAAATGCAAAAGTGCTGAGAGAAGCAAAATGGTGCTTTACAGTAGAGTAAGCTATCAGAATTTTATTAACTTGGAATTTCTGCTGTTGATTTAAAAAACATTTAGCTTTTTAAATTTAAATACTTCCTTTGAGAAATATTACCAAAATACTTGGTTTCACTAAAGCATTTGCTTTCCTGTGTTCGTAGAACCTGATATGGGAAGTATAATGCACAGCTGGTTACAGGATGATCAGTAGTGTAATTCAAAATATATTTCTGTGAAGCTAGGATAAGCTGACATGCAAAAATATTGGATTTTCTCCAAATTCAGATGAAAACTGCGACTTTAGAACTGTTTCAGTAGTTTGATTTCACTTTGACAAAGCAAAAATATTTCCTTCTAATGTATTAAAAAAAAGTTCAGATGATATTAAAAGAAAAATACTAAGTAGAATAGGAAACATTAAACCATGTAGTGTAGCTCAATTAATATTGTAATATATGGAATTTATAACATCTGAATTAAAATTTTTTACTATATCAGTTTTACCAAACTAGGAAAATCAAAATTTTCTCCAACAGTATTTATAATACTGCCTTTCTAATGTCAAACTGATCTGCAAAAAATACCCTCTACATTGTATGATACTAAACAGGGCACATGAGTTTATAAGGTCAACTTTTCTATTATTGATTTGGATATTAAACTGGCAACACTGGGGATTAGTGTAGAAACTTGGGAATAATCTAATGAAATGAAATTAAATGTAAAACTAATAATTAGAGACAAATATAGCAAATGACCTTCCAGCAGTTTGGAAGGATTCAGTATAAGGAAAGATTTTGAGAATAAACCTAATTTAAAAAAAAAAAAGGCAATAAAATTAAATGGATACATCCATCATGGATTGATGGTTGTTTTTGTTATGGACATAGCGAATGGCTCTAATTTCTGCTGCTGACTCATGCAGTATCTGGAAGAGTATTATTTTTTTCTTCTGTAACTTGAACTTTAAAGAGTGAAAAACATCTACAAAAAATGGGGACTTCAGGTTGGTTGGTGCTTTGAAATTATGACTAAAGGTAAGAGAATGCAAGTTACAAAATTAAATTGTAGACTAAACTGCATCAAAAAGTATTCTTACAAAAAATGACCTTAACCTGTCAGATAATCTTCCAAGCAGTAACCAGGCGGTACAGGAGATTTTCTGATGTTTCTGCGATTCAGTAAAATGCTCCTTCTTTTCCTCTGCCGTATCCCAGTTGTGGCCGGGTTTCCTCAAGTGGGCGGTTGTTTCCAATAAGCAAGCTGGGTATTAGAAAATGCTGCTCAATATCTGATCTCAAGTCACACTTGCTGTCAAGTAAAAACATTGTTTTGAGTGTGCTTTAAATTTACATCAGAAGCAGCTGGGTAAATCATATGTTTAGGTGTGTTATAACATGACATTACAAAGGATATGGAGAGACTTTGTCAATATGCTTGTGCCTGGGAACTGTAACAAAATCTTAAAATAAAAAAGACTTTTTGGAGCTAAAGTGCCAAAGCCAGACTTCTGACAAACATCTCAGTCCGTTTTTCCAAAGAAACTTCGGCGAGGTGTCTGGATTTGCAGGTGCCAGATAGCGATGTGACTGTGCGGATCCTGGCGCAGCTGTTCACCTGACACGTTCAACGCCCGCGTTTGCCTAATGCCCGCACTGCATCCCGGCGTGTGCGAGGTGGCGCCCGGGAAGAGCTGCTGGGAAAGGCCTTGGCGCAGGAGCCGCCGCGGGGCCCTGCGCCAACTCCAACCCTGGGCAGCTGGGGAGCCGCAGGCGCAAAACTCCAGCGCGGCTTCGCGGCCTGGCCCCGGCGCCCACTTCCCGCTCCGGCCAGACCGCCCTGGCCTGAGGAGGACGCGTGGGCATCGGAAGGGTAAAGCTGTTAGGGCAGCAGCGGGTGTCCAGGGAGAGCCCGAACAGCTCCCTGCCATGTGAGCACCAGGTAGCCCCAAGGGGCTGCTGAGCTGGTGTCACCAAAACCTGCAAGATGTTTAATTACCTTCAATGCTCGAGGGCACAGTCAGTGTTATCTCTTACAGAAGACAGAAATAACTCTGTGTCGTTTGATTCCTCTGGTACGTTGGCAACAGCTTGATTCGGAGGAAGAACGTGTTACTTTCTTAATCCACATTATCATTCTTCATGCAGGACCTGCCTCCTCCTTTGAGGGCTGCTTTCTAGGTTACACCAGAGTTAGTGTCCCACTTCTGATAAGTATAGTTGTGGAAATGCAAAAACAGCTTTAACAAGATGATTTTTCTGCTTCAAAGCTTTTTAAAGTACCTCTTTACTGTAGTTCTGTGCTGCAAGGCAGCTTGCATCAGATTCTACACAGGAACCAGAGCTATTTAGAAAAGAGTTTAGGCAACTGAGTGTGCAATGGATGCAGTTATCCCACTGGGAGCACTAGTGTTCTGCGCTCTCGTGTTTCCGTGCTGCCTGAGTAGATCTGACATCTGTTTGGTGAAAAGCTTTCTTAATGCTGCTTTCAGCTCCTGCACTTTCACTTTGCTGTGAGCATTTTCTGATGAACATAATTACATCAGTACATTAAGTACTGATATACATTAAGCTTGATTAAGTCAGCAAGGCTGTGGGAGATGAAGTTTTACAAAATACTGCCAAAACTAATATTATGGAGTGTATAGTTTTGCTCCTTGTTTTTGAGCATAAGAATTTAAAATATAATGGTTGCATTTCATAGGTCAGATGACTTTTAGTAAGCCTGATCCGTGCTCGTCTCTGCTCAGTGCTTGCTGCAGGAGTGCAGCATCCAGAATGGACTTGCTTTGCGAGGCGGCTGGGAGCAGTGCTGGCAAAGCTGTGTTTCTGCTGCTGCTGGGATGGGCCTGCGCTGGGGATGGCAGTCACTTTCTAGCAGCATTAAATGTTCTAGACACAGTGATGTTTGCAGAGGTGGTCAGAGAGCCCTCTTAGATTGAAAAGAGTAATTTTAAAATGTTTAACGTTTTCTATTCACTGGAAAAGCATCAACAACAGCAACAAAAGTATTGAAGCTAGTGGTTGATGACAGGACTTGAACAAAAATATTCTCCATCTTAAAAGCCATCTTCATTCTTTACTTTTATTCCATTCCTTCCCCTTACTTGTTTTTCGTGTGTGTGTGCATGTGTATTGTTAAAGTGACCCAGCATTTCCAGCACTTTGCTCAGTGTGTGCCTT